AGGCACCGGCCCTGGTGTCACTGGGCCAACCAAGCAGCTACCTGCTGCCCCCAAAGAGCCCCCCCCCCCACTTTCCCCACTGGGGGGGCAGGCCCCTCCCCCCACCCTGCTGCATCCCCAGTGTCCGGACAGCTTCCCCCAGTGCTGGCAGGCACCCAGCCCTCTCATATACCCATCTCCTCCACACACCCCTGCCACACGCACACACACACACAACACCCCCCTCCCTGACAATCCCCAAGTTCTGGCCCTCCAATGCCCATCGCCCACAGACTTACTTGTATCCAGCTGCTGGGCTGCTCCCACCTCCCTGGCCTGGCTGCATGCTGACCACATGTGTGTGCACCCTGCCTCCAACCTCCCTCCACCCAGCCCCCAAAAGCTCCTTGCTAGGGCAAGCTGGGAAGTGCCAGGAAAAACTTTGAAGCTGAGTTGACCAAAATCCCAGACATTTGATCATATTCAAAAACAAGCAAACGAACAAAGATTTAGACTGAGATTGGAGGATCTAAAAAGAGGACATCTCCAGGAAAACCAAGACATATATGGTAACCCTCCCTTAATATAAATACCCCACCTGCTTCCCCTCCTCTGATGGCCCTGATTAAGCCTACTACTTCCCACCCAGCACCCCATATCTATGCTCAGTACCTCCACAATTACTTGTAGCTGCCCTCACTATCAGTCCTGGGGGAGCAGGCAGGGAAGCGTTAAATATTTGCTGCTGGGGCTGTTGCTCTCTAGGCCAGACACACAGGTTAACCCTACCTTCCCTGCTCTCCTGGAACAGAAAATGCAGGCAGTCACAAGTAAGTAATGCCTTGTGGGTGGTGAGATGCAAGAGGTAGGGGGAAATCTGAATGGGCAAGGTGGGAAAAATATATAAACACCAACCAAATCAGGCAAAGAGCAGAAATTATGACAACAAAAGCACATGCACATGACAGGCTTTTTGATTCTGCCAAGATGCAACAAACTAATGAAACAATATTAAAAATGAAAAATGGATAATGAATATTAAAAAAAAGTCCACTTTGGATTCTCTTTGGGCCAAGAGTGATTGGGGGAGCTCTAATATTCAAACCAGTGCATCTTTTTGTACACTAGAGAAACTCTGAGTTGACAAAATCTTTCTCAGACACCATTTTGATGGGGTCTAGGGAGCACTGAATAAAGTATTCTTTATCTAACAGGAAGAGGGATCCAATATCATGTTGAAAGTCTGAGAAATGTAAACAAGATAGGAGAACTAGGTGGTGTTGCTCTGCTCTTGTCTTTCCATCAAGTTAACTATTTTTAAGATTTTGCAGATGGCTCCATTCTTTTCTATGAACTTTACAGACAATTATAATGCCTAGTTGGTATTTTTATGTAGCTGACTATTATAAAACACCAGTTCAAGCATTGCTTGTAATAGCAAAATGATTGTCTTCATGACAGTATAGCATTTGGAATATAAACACAGGCGTAGGGAAACCTTTCTGTTTTGTTTTGGTTTGGTTTATTTTTTTTAAGAGATTTTTGCAGAGATATTTTAAAGGATATCATGGCATGGTTAAGTGTCCGCCATCTGACTTTAAATGTTCCCCAAAAGGATGCCGTACTAAGTATGCTGAGTTATGAGATCTTCTTTTGTCACTTTCTTACTAGCAACAGCAAGTATGTTCCTGTCTTTGGTACCTTGTAATCATCTCTAAGACTGTTAGATATAAAGAAAGGACAGGGAGGAAGAGGATGAGAATAAAATGATGAAAACTGATTTAGCTGACTTTTAAAAATTATATCTTCATATTTTCCCAAGCAGGAAACAACTGTGACCATCTGAAACCTGAGATCCTGCTCCTGCCTTTGTTTCAAGGTAATTTGCATCATCACAGATCCTCACAGGTGAGCCGCTCCATACCAGCTATGAACTGACTGCCCAGAGGAATTTTCCATCTATTGACTCCTCTGTGAAATCCTATGAAATATGAACTTTCATTTCTACCCAGGAGAACTTTTACAATCTTTTCTCCAGTGCCCGATGAAAGGTGTTTGTGCCCCAAAGCTTGCAATTAATTTTTGGGTTTTTTGCAAAAATCTTGTTGGTCTAATAAAAGATATCACCTATACCACGAGCCCTGATTACCATGATGAAAACTGCACATTAATGCAATTTAAAGTTTCTCCTGTCTCTGAAGTATTCTAAGTGTATCTCTGGAAGAGTTAAACTGAGCTGTGATTTTGGACCATGATTTTGCAAAACACAGTCACATGCAGTTTTAATCATGTAGTTAAATACATCCCATTGTAAGTGCATTGACCTTAATGGGAATGGATCATGTACTTCAAGCTAAGTATGTGCATAAATGCTTTCCTGAATTGGGAATTTAGGATACAAAAGTGCAGGCTATTTAACATGTTAATTTGCGAGTTAAAGCAGGAGAGAGATGTATCTGAAAACAAACTGTTGGCTGATGTTCAGAGGGCCTGAGCACATGCTAGTCTTACTGATATTGCATATTGCATCTTTTTAAAATCAGGACATAAATATGAGACTACTGTTCCCCTTTTCTTTGTAAGTAGATACTTTATACTTACAGCTAAGAGTAGACGATCTCTTTCAATTAAGTCAGCCAGTTTATTCAAAAGCCTTCCTCGTTCTGAAGCATCCATTGTGCGCCATGGAGACCCAAGCTGAAAAGCTGTTCTGGCTGCTTTAACAGCTTTGTCAATGTCCTCCTGCATAAGAACAACAAGGAGACCTTTCTGACTGATATTGATTGTTATCTGATCCCATTTTTTCTTATTTGTACTGCACCTAGAGTTTGCTACACATTATGGACAAAAAAAAAGGATATATTGATCCTCCCACTAACTGTGGACAGAAGTATAGCTCCCCACTGTAACAGAATATTTTGCAGGAAGCATTCTGAGTTACAAGGATCCCCTGGAACAAACAGAAGTTCACTGTTGGCTCCAGGGGGGACGAGCATGTAGCTGCTGGTTGGGAGCCGGCAGCCAGTTTCCCCAAGCAGTGGCCCCTCCTCCTTGCAAGGCTGCAAATTTTTCAAAATGGGAGGGGGAAAGGGAGCAGAGGGAGCTCGTTCTAGGGCAGGGGTCGGCAACATCCTGGCATGTGTACCATAGTGGCACGGGGAGACATTTTTCCTGGCACGCTGGGAGGCACACAAAGAAATTGTTTGTTTTTTCTAAGTTGCTCCTGTGCAGCCACAAGTCGCAGCACCACGGCAGGCACCGGGGCAGACCCAGAAGAACACAGGCAGGGAGGCTGTCTGTGCTCTACTGCCCCTCCCCGTGCTCCCAGGCTGCGCCCTCCAGCCCGGCTGGCCCCTGGAGGGAGCTGCCCAGGCAGTCAGATGTCCTGTCCCACCTGGAGCAGCACTGAAGTGCTGAGTGCTGGGGCCGGGCGGTTGGGACAGGGTCTGGGCAGCGTGGGGGGAAGTGCCACGGGCAAGCCAGCCTGGCCAGGCCATTAGAAAGGTGGGGATGGGTGGGAAGTGGGGGTTTCCCCGGGGCTCTGTGGGCTCGAGCTGTGGTGGGCGGGCAGGCAGGGGTGCCCCGTGGCACCTGTGGTGGGGCCCGGCCCAGCCCCCGGGGCCTGGCCTGGCCTGGCCCCCACAGCTCCTCAGGGATGGGCCATAGCCACCATGCACATGTGGGGATGCTGCCTGGCTAGGGCACGATTCCGGCCTCGTGGGGCTTCCCTCTCCGGGATCAGCCTCCCTGCACACTGGGCAAAGTGCAGGCAGGGAAGAGCTGTCCCTGGTGCAGGGGCCTGGGCACAGGAGACCCCTGGAGCTTGGGAACAGCCACCATGGCTACCTCAGCCTGCCCGGGTCCCAGTCTTGCTGACCCGCAGCTTCCCTCAAGGGGCCAGGGCTGGGGCAGACACTGCACAGAGCCTCTGTGCTGCAGGCTCCTGGCTGGGTTGGCCCTGAGCACCAGCTGCAGTGGCTGTTCCCAGAGCCCAGGGAACAGCTTGTGGCTGCAGCTTCCACTCACACTGTACCCAGCACACACAGAGACCAAGCAGGAGCCCCCTGAGCCTGGCGTCCTGCCCCAGCCAGGCAGCATCCCTTTGTGGGAAGAGTGGCTGTGCCCCATCCTCCGGAGCTGTGCAGGCTGGCTGGGCCCCGACTCCGGTGCTGCTGGGCCCCCCCGCTGTGGCCCGAGTAGCGGAGCCCTGGGGAGCCCCTGCTCCCCGCTTGACACCAGCTCTCTACTTACTGTAAAAAAAAATTAAAATTAAAAAAAGCAACATTAATGATTATTAATAGTATTAAATATGCAGTGCATCCTGTCATGTATCCCCTCAGTCCCAGTTTTGTTTTTGTGGCATGCCGGCACTCCGGCACCTTACAAGATAGATATTTTGGTTTTTTTGGTATTCCAGCCAAAAAAAATTGCCTACCCCTGTTCTAGGGGTTCCTCAGTCAGGGCTGGGGGTGGAGTGGGTGAATTGAAGCCCCCCCACCTCAGGAGGGCTACAATACATCCACCCCATCCTTGCCAGGGGAATGAAACCCCCCAAGAATGAGGTCCCTCTGCTCCCTTTCCCCCCTCCCATTCTGAAAACAATGACCAGCTGGCAGGCAATGCAGACAGAAGATACAGAAGACAATCTGTTTTGAAAGGTCTTCATCTGACCCCTCATGCAATAGGGATTCTGATTTTCACCTGATCTGCCATTTTTGAAGCTGTCTGCAGCCTACCCACGCACTTGTGTTTGATCATGGCTATAAACCACTTTCTGTGGCCAGATAGAAGTGACAATTTTCACCCTATCTGCACCCCAAGTGGTTCCAATTTAATTTGAGATACGTATATAATTTATTGTTGACTTACTGTTTCCCCAAACATTACCAGTATTGCTTGAGAAATGATATAAGAAATAGATGGATTCTCAAACCCATAAATACAAATATACTGTGGGACTCTACCTTTAATTTTTCAAACTTGGCCCCCACTTTATCACCTAATCATGTAATTTAATCTAAGTTGATGTTCAGGTAAATTACTGAGCTCACAAATCAGGTACCTGTAATATGGGAGCATTAAAAAAAAGAATAATTCTACTGACTTAACTGAGTTCAGGTTAAGTACCGTAAAAGATTTCATATGATGGTCATAAATGTGTTCTTTTGAAAACAGATCATCACCTTTGACTTTTATTAATACAAGGACAACATTTAAGCACCCTAGGTAATGGAGGTGTCTGATTAACTGCTCAAGTTTAAGATGCCAAGCTCAAGTACTTCAAAGTCCTTGGCTTTGCCCCTGCATTAAACATGTTAACTTGCCAACACCTCAACAGTTTTTATACCATAGCCTATTATTAATCACTTAGCTCTCACCACTATGAAACAATATACATTTAATGTCTGGAGTGTTATCAGTGTGTAAAGGGTTATGTAAAGGGTTACTGAGATTTTTTTCCAGGATTTGAAATGGAATTCAGTATGTTATTAAAAATCAGGTTTCCAGAAGAAGTAGGAATCACTGTGTATAACAGAATTTCTGCTTCGTTCATGCACATAATGTTAAGTAAACATGTACAAAAACTAAAATTTTCTGCCTTCCCTCCCCACACTGGAGAAAATCAAAAGTAATTCTATTGAAATTAACGTGAAGTTAAGCTGTTATGAAGAAAAATAAGGTTTAGTATTTATAACAGACATTGTAACTAATATTCAGTTATCATACTCCTTCAGAAGAGGACAATCCTGTCATAAAAGTCCAGAAGGCTACAGAACGAGTGCAAAACTGCTAGCTAGAACCCAAGCATTTCATGGAGGGTGTACACACCACAGATATACTGCATAGGACAAGTAATTTAGGAGCAGGATGAAAGAGTTAATGAATGATGAATTTGTAACTACAAGGTTCTATTAACAGTCCTTCCTAAAAGAGGAATGTGAGGAGTATTGAAGCTATCATAAAGCTAAAACATACCTCTGCTAAAGTTTTAGCCTTATGGAGGTGGAGAGGATTTTTTCCTTGAGATACTAATCGGCCAATAATGTGTATAACTCATATTAAACACTATTTTCATATCAGCTGAGAATTTGATTCAAAGTGGGCATACACATTGTCGTATACAGAAAAAAACCCTACATCCATCACATGGGTGTATGCAGTTTAACCAGACAAGGTTCTTTGGGTAGATGTGATCTCTTTTATTAGACCAACTAAATAGTTGGAAGAATTGTTCTTTGCAAGCTCTTGGGCACAACCACCCTTCTCCAGGCATAGGGAGAGTCTGTTTAACCATCGATTTAGGCCACAAGTTTGCTTGGTCTTATAAAATGAACGGTTGTGCATGATGTCTCCGTGGGATTATGTCCCAGTTCCTCAAACAGACAAGGGGCAAAACACAGCTGCAGGAGAAGATACCTATTCTACAAACATAAATTAGAGTTTGGCCGTTTCTATGCAGTAGTTTCTTCAGGTTGATGGCAGCAGTAGCCTTACATATCTTTTATTATGGTTCTGCCTTGAGGGATGAAACTGGTTTCCACAGCAGCATATCCCTGCATATTTTACAACCAACAATCTACTGATCTTCTGGCCTACACGTAAACCAATCACACGTATGAGCATCTAGCACCTCTGACAATGGGGTCACATATTTAAGTGCCTAGGTAAAGGTACACAAAGTTGCAAATGTTAATGTAAATCATTCAACAATTCTCTTATGATGTGTCTCACATTGAGCTTTGAATTCCTTGTGATTCTAATACCACACAATAAATCATTACATATATATACAAATAAAGTGCAGAGCTGGATGATTCTTGGAGATCTCAGAACAACAACAGTGTCTCCCTATACCTGAAGAAGGGTACTTGTGCCCAAAAGCTTGCAAAGAGCTTCGTTCCAACTACTCAGTCAGTCTAATAAAAGATATCATATATACCCAAAGAACCTTGCTGAGCTGGCTGATGGAAATGCAAACATTTTCAAGAAAACTCTCCCATGTTCTGCTGAAATTACAAAATCTCCTCCAAACATCTAGCCTGATACAAATGTCCCAATGCAACTATATTAAATTAATAATTAATCCTTTTTTTTTAAATTTGCCTAAACATTATGTGAGCTCCATAATAAAACATTTCAGTGGTATTCCCTTTGCATATATTATTTAGTACAGAAAGAACAAGAATAAAACCACAAATTATACTTGTAGAAATGGTGAGAGTTAAACTATCTAGTTTGAAAATGATACAAATAATATTCTGCAGGGATCTTTACTACAAGCTCAGACAGTTAAAATCCATAGAAATAGAAAACTAAAATTAAACTAATTAAGTCCTGTGAGCAGAAATTAAAATAAACAACAACAACAAAAAGTTTTCTCCTTAACCTGTAAAGAACTAAATTTAACATAGAAATCTACACTGAAAGAGAGGGCCAGATTTATGAGAGGGTTTTGTTTGGTTTGGTTTTACACTTGTTATAGATGTGCATTTACTTTATATCTCACTGACCATTTGTTAAATGAAGTAGTCCTGCTTTATTATTACTAGAGGCCTTTAGGATTAGTGACTGTAGCCTGACAGAGCCATTTAACTGAAAGGAAAACAGTTCCCACCCACATATGTGTCTGTGCTTTGTAATCTCCACTTGTTTTTTCCCCCTTAAATACCACTGAAAAGCAGTGTACAACCCTTTGTTAACTCCATTGTACACACAAATTAAATTCCTAAAATCTTTGGCTCATTATCTAAAGACTAGGCTCTGGAATATTACATTTACAATGACTGTGTAATTTACTAGATTTGTACATTTCACTAGGCAATTTAGTTAATAGCAGTTGTCATTACACATTAATCTGCAAAATTACTGGACAGAAAGCAAACCTGTGTGTTGAACAGTGTTATCTCTTCATTTAACAAGTTGTTAGATTGCTTGTAAAGAATAAAAGCTACAAGAATCCTGAATGGTATGTGAACAGTTGCAGGTCATGAGTAATTTAATTTGAGGATGATCAAATATCAGATCAATCTGCCTTGCAATATAACTGGATTTTTTTAAAGATTTAGGAGAGGCAGAGGGTTAGCATTTTATATCAAAGGTGCCTCTACTACAGTGAGACATAATTTACCATTAAGAATGAGGTTATGAAGTTCTTTGGCTGAGGACAAAAAGTAGAGAAGCAGTCATACAAGACCTTAGCTCCAAGTTACTATGAATGGAAAAGAACAAGAATGAAAATTCCAAGAGCTCCTCTGAGGTACTTGAAATCCTCATGAATGGCTTTTCCCAATAATAACTACAAACATTTGGGCCTCTGCTTATTATCATCGAGTTTATTGGAATCTGCTGGCATGCTTAGACAGAAGTCAAGCAGTCATGTTGTCATTGCCCCTGCTGCTGAGCTTCCCATTGCTTTATGGTAATCTGTTAGTGGCACGATTTTGAAGATACAAGTCCAGCATAAAATATTATGCATGCAGCAACATTTTATGGATTCTTGGTTGCATATTTTAGCATTTTATTTGATACCATGGATCTGGTATACTTATACATGATTAAGTTGGGATCCAAACATGACTTCTTGACTTCTGTCTAAGCATGACAGCAGATTCCAATAAATTCGATGATAATAGGCAGAGGCCCAAATATCTGTAGTTATTATGCTATAGATAATATGTAGACCTAAATATTACTTAATTTTATCTGGTTGTTTCTAGTTTACCCCATATATGATCCCAATTATTCTTTTCCTTCATGATATGTATAGCCTTTGAATACCAGATCCATGGTATCAAATAAAATGCTGAAATATGCAACCAAGGATGCACAAAATTTTGCTTCATGCATAATATTTTACCCTGGACTTATATCTTCAAAATCTTGCCACTAACAGATTACCATAAAGCAATAGGAAGAATTATTGGGATCATAGATGGGGTAAACTGGAAACAACCAGATAAAATTAAGGAATATTTAGGCATTCTACTGTCTTCTCATTTCATATTATTAAAATGACATTATCATTGCTATTGCATGGATAGAGGCCCTGCCAAACTTGGAAGTCACTGCAGTACTTTGAGATGTTATCATAATTTGGATAAATAATATGATTACAGTAGTGTGACTAAGATAAGGCAACCAGGGCACTAGCCCTAGTGCTGCCTTAAGGGGAGAGGTGAGAGGGGAAAAAAACGCTGCCTCTGTAGATGCAGAGCCACTCCAGCAGCAACAGTATCTGCTCCCAAGTCTTGCCTGCTGCCCCAGGTTCCCAGCTGCCTTGTTAGGCCTCTGCATGATTGTTTCATAGTTTCTCAGTGTAGGGTAGAGATGATGCTGAAGGCTTTCTATTCTATTGAGTTGCAAGGCAAACACTGTGTTTCTGCATTAGTGAATTTCTTGAAGGGTTTTATTACTCTTGAATGTAAAGGGCCAGAATCCCATCAAATCACATTCTGCTTACTTTGCTCCAGGAAGAAAATTGTTTTAACCATTGTCTGAAGGGAATAAATGGAATACACAGATTTCTGTTATCCCCCAACCCTTTGATCATAGCAGAGGATTATATTGTGATGTGGCTACAGTGCTGATATTCTATGGTGTTTTCCAGCTGGGTTCCCACAAGAGCCATTACCAGCCAGATAATTTAAAGAAGCCCCGAAGGTAAGTCTCAATAAGTACTGGACCGACCTCTGGCTATCTCAAGGTTTGATGGTAAAATTTTACAGGTGGTAGGCTGCAGCTCCCAAAGGCTCTCAGGACCCTAAGTAAGGCTGTTGGGGCCAGCACAGCTGCTGATCCCAGCCTTCCCTACCCCACGCGGGGTAACTTGCCACATAGGGATGGGCAGGGATAAGCCAGAGCGTGCATAGCACAGGCATTCCCTGGGGACAAGTAGCAGTGGTACAAGATGTGCCAATGCTGCTTTTTCCTGGGAAAACATATATTCCCACTCATCCGGATGCACCCTATAAGTACAAAATATTCTTAAGGAAGTATAAAACTTTTAATTTTTTTTCACTTTGTTACTAAATTCAAATGGACCCATTTACACACACACACACACACACACACACACACACACACACACTTTTATTTATATAAATACTTTTTCATAAGTGAAAATGGACCAATTTTGAGGCAAAATGGCTGTAGAAAACCATGAGGAAATTCTGCTCCCTAAGTAGTTTACAATACAAAGGCCTTGATCTGGTTCTTAATGAAATCAATTACAAAAATATTCTTGCATCAAAGACTCTCCTGGTGGAAATGAGTAAAACCTCACTGAAATCAGTGGCACTGCACCAGCTTATAGCAGCAGATCATTTGTCCTATTGCCTTTAAGGTGGGGGAGTGAATTGAAAGATAGCAATAAGATGGTGAACAGTTAAAAACTTGCCTTGTCTCCTTCTTCAACCTCACAGATTTTCTCTCCAGTTGCAGGGTTATAGACTTCAATTTTTTTGCCATTAGCTGAATCATGCCACTCATTATTTATAAATATCTGCAAGGAAGGAAGAAAACAAATGATGGAATACAAATTTAGTAGTTGTTATTTTTACACTTGCAATGAACAACCTATATAGTATCAAAAGAGCTATCCAATAATCTTTTCTTGTTTTAAGCCCTCATGTATCAAGTGGTATATAGACAATGTTCATTTTTGCAGAGAAATTAGAAACAATTAATGTGGAAATTTAAAGAGGCAAGGTTTTTTTGTGATGTTTTGTTTGATCAACTGTATGGTTGGAAGAGAAGTTTGATAAGCTTTCAGGCACAAACTGCCCATCCTCTGTTCATAAAAAGACATTTGCCTCTCATACATTTCCTAGACTATCATGGCTGCAACAACAACCTAAACAAAGCAGAAAAAATGAAGATTTTCATACTTAAACCTGGCTACTCTCATAGTTTGTCTATACACAGAAATCTATTTATGTTAGGGTAGTATGCGACTTTAAGGTAGAATTGTCTTTACGGATATTCTTACCTTGGAATAAAATTGTCTTGGTTTGAATTAGTTGGATTTACTTTTAGAATAAAAGTGCCTTATTCTGAAAAAAAAATTCATCATAAGTGGTTTACAATTATTCAACTGAAGGCACTTTTATTCTAGAATAAGATCATCCACACGTGGAATTAATCAGAATCCCTATTCCTGAAGAACTTTTGTGTCAACAACACCTTTTTAATCACTATCTAATAAAGGTAGGTATTTTGTCATAGTTTTGGCCCACATCATAAGCCATATTATTATATTAATAACATCAGGTTGTTTTAAATCCATGGTGAACGTACAAGGAAAGAGAAGGTGGTAACTGACCTGCACTTTTGAAACTGCTACTGCCATTGTGACACTGATATACTGCCTCACTTTGGTTGACAGGAAGATGTATGTTTTTGTATATTCTCCAATTATGCATTACTATTATACAGGGATCCCCTGGAGAACTGAGCTCTTTGATGCACAGGAAAAGCAAACTTGCTTCCTTCAAATCATGTACCCCTTTTCCAGAGCTACTATATTTGACTTTCAGAGAAGCCATTGTGCCACAGAGACAGGATCTGTCCTCTTACTGAAAACAGTAGACAGGCAAGTCATGTGACCTGTGATAATTGGGAGAGATCAGCTTTCTTGCATCATTTATCATTTCTTTTATTTCCTCTCCAAAAAAATAATAATTTTTTAATAAAAATAATTTCCTCTCCTTTCTGTAATGAAAGACCACACTAAAGAGCCACAGCCTTCTTAATGGTATCTGCAACAAAAAGGGAACTATTTAGGCATCAGGCAAGTGCCAGAAAATGTGATTTGCACACTTCTCTATTTCTAAGTCAGAGGAGAAAAATAAAGAGGAGTACTAATCTCTGTGATTTTTTCCTCCTCAAATCCTTCTGCCCATGGATTGCTGCCTCATTAGATACGATCCTAATGAAGATTATTGAAAAGCACAGAACAAATGTTGTTAATCTTTTACAGGAACTAAGAGATCCATTTCATTAAATGCAGGGGTGGATCCACAGATAAAGAAGAATTTATTTCTGGGTCTACTAAAACGATATAGTTTATTCTTCCTCGCCAAAACAATGTCTGTGCAATTATTATATTAATGTTAAAGATACATTGTACATATCATTAAAAATGCATGAAACAATATTAACAGTTTATTACAAAACAGTAAATTATTAGACTAACTTACATGCAGAAAATTATTGTGTATTATAATGTAAGTGTATGCATGTGTTTCAATTTTTATGTGCAGATTAGACAAACATTTGTTGGAACAGCATAGTCAGGGATATTCCTGTCTTGAACAGAAGGTTGGATAAGCCCATCCCTCTTTTTCCATGATTCGGTTTTAAAATTACTAAGCCAAATGTCATTTTCAGTTAGTTACATACTCTTGCCTATGCTTATGCATTGAAGGTCTTGGTGTGATGGTCACAGGACTCTGTACAAGCAGATTCATTTTAGACACCAGGATTTTATATTTTTCCCAACATACAGTAGTCTTTTTATAAAATAATATTAGAAGTATCTGCTAAGTGAAATCCTAACCACCTGCCTTTTCTACTACTGATGGCCTTATAGGATTATGGGATGTCTGACATTTTTAAGTTCAAACTCCTGCATTCACACAACCACATAACAACAGTCAATTCAGAAATACATCTTACCTTTGTTTAAGTTCAAGTGAATATGTGTACTAAGAAGAAATGTTGAAGGAATCATACTTCTCTCTGATTTCAGTTGTACTAATTAGCAAAATCACTTAGCTACGTTTTAGGAGAATGAAGACATTATGTGCTTTATATTTGTTATGAACTGTGTTAACAGGAAATCTTGTTTGAATGACTGAGGGCAGAAATGAAGAGAATTTTCTAATGATATACATAAACCATTGTTTCGGTAAATCCTAGCCTAGCAACCAAGGGGAGCTTTTGTGTTGTACTTCTGGAAAAGTATTTGTACTTCTGGTCCTGTAGAGTGAATGTCTTTCTTTGGTAAGCTTTAGTCACCTTCTTCAAAATACTATGAGTAACCTGTATTTCCCTAATCTGAACTCCATGCTTTTCAGTGATTGCAACAGAGTTACAAGATAAGGGGTCTTGCCATGTGATCATGCTTTTGAATTACAGAATATAAACTAAAATAGAAAGTCACATTGCTGGATAAAAATCAGCAAACTTCAGTGCTGATAATACTACTGCAATTTCTTTTCTCCGGGTCCTCAATGTGCATGTCAGCTATGAGTAACAGGTATTTATACACATACCTTTCTGTCCTGCGACATGCTGGAGATCTGTTGCTTTGGAGCAGACTTGATTAATCGAGTTTGCTCTACATGCAAGCTGAGGCAAACTGCGCTGCACTGCATGCAGTTGTATAAGCGGCGAAATGGGCATCAGTGCACAGAAAATGGTAGCAGTGTACTTTTGAACTAAAGCACCCCCAAGGTGTTTTAGTTTAAAAGCATGTCACCACCATTTTCTCAGTGCTGATGAGCATTTTGCTGCTTATACAACTGCAAGTGTCGCAGCTCCAGGTGCTTTTCAAAGCGCCTGGCGCTGCAGTGCTTCCATGTGTAAAAATGCCCTTTTTTCCATATATGGCCCATGGTTGACCATTCCTTCACAACACATCAGATATCCAACCCTTTTGTCTTTGGCATGTGTTCCTTTTTCTGATTGTATAGAAGTAAAGTTGGATTTGGGATACAGTTCTTTACTTTTATGAACTGGTCTTTAGATGGGAATTTTAATGCTGCTCCAATGTGATTAACTTTTGGACTATGCGGGCCAAATGATTAATTATTTGCTAATTAACTCTCATCCATCCTTGCCAGCTCTAATTTATTACTGTAATTTATTAATCTGTGGCATTTATATCACTTTCCTGCAAAACATATAAAACGCAACACAGATATACTGTGATATGACTGTTTTATCACTGTGATATGACTGTTTTATCACCTAGTCTGAATGCCTGTGTTGGATCCCTATGAGGTGTTAGAACAGATTAACATTTCCTCTGCTTACTTCCAAGAACTTTCACAAGAACTTCCAAGAACTTTCACAATTTTACTCCTCTCCTCATCTCTAGAAAACTATTACCATGTATCTCCTACCTTTTCCTGTGCTATCTATCCCCTTTGTTTGGAATGCCCTCTATGTCCTGGGTGACCAAACCTTGATATTGTTCATGTTTGTTAATCCTCAGCACCTTTCATAACACCGAAAGTGGGTTAATAGCATTAAAAAACACCAAACTAAATAGGGAAGGTATTCTTTCTTCTTTATTTGCTAATGGGTTCTTAATTATTAGCTTCTGTCCTCTAGATTTAAATCTTTTCATACAGAATCAAGCATATAAATAGCAAAGAACAACTAAGCAATTACAAAAAATGTACCATAGCTGGTATAAACTAAAGATGATCATACTGGAACATGCTGTATCATTGAAACTGCTGATAGCACAATCTAAAAACAGTTTCATACATTTCAGGGATTATGTATTCAATTTTAGCTTTTATACAAGGAAAAGGAGCAGAGTGTCCCACATAGATTTTTTATAGCTGGGACAAACACCATCTCATATAGATAGAAAAAAATGGTACAGGAAAATTCAGACATCCTGGCACAAATGTATATTTAAAAAGATAAACCAGATGGAATAGGTATTTCAGTATCCCATATTGAAATATCATAATCTTGACTTGTAGATGGGACTGTAAAGCACAAATAGTCCCTTACATGTACCAGCTGATTACATAATTGGCAAATGAACCCTTGGTATAAGTTTAACCCTTATAGGTAAGGTATAAATTAATCCTTTCTATAGGTAAATATTTGAATTTCTTAGTAGGTCGGGACAAAAACATCTAACCCAACTATGGTCTCCAAAGACACTATGAAAGTTTTAGGATGGACAGAGATAAAACTCTGAACTGTTCTCATTTGTTTTATTTTTTTCTCTGAATGTTATAGTCAGAAGTCTCCTTGACATACTGTCACCCAGTTCTTATATAAAATCTTTTCTAAAACCAGACAAAATGAGGATTTCAGGAATGGCTGCCTACTTTGTATTTTATTATTTGAAAATCCCAATTGAATGTTAGTAAGAGTCCTGACACAGTTAGTAGAACAGGATTTTCCCCATAACGATCTGTTAAAGAAACCACAGCCACTGTCACTGAACAGTCACCATTTACCTAGAGTTACCACCTAGTGGTATAAGAAATACTGCAGTTATTTTCTGTTGTGATCTTAGAGAAATTCTGACATCCTAAATACCATTGTGATCGTGAGGCTAAATAGCGAACTGTCTTTCATTGTAAAATAATTATAATAACAATTATAATACTTATTATAGAAATACAAGATCAGGGTGATGATGGTCATTCATCAGCACTAAAAACTTGTCCCCCTTTTGTGCAGAAGGCAACCAATTGCTGGGACAGTGAAGAACACACACACACACACACACACACACACACACACACA